TTTTTCTCTGGTACTGGGAACCGAACTCACGACCTTGCGCTTGCCAGGCAGGCGCTTTGCCGCTGAGCTAAATCCCCAGCCCCCTTCATTACTTTTTCATTGCTGGGACAAAATACCCAATATCCAAAATGGAAAAAAAAAAACAAAAACAAAAAAAAAAAAAAAAACTGTTTTAGCTGACACCAGAGAGGTTTCAGTCCCTAGTTGGCTGGCTCCAAGGCATGGTGGCATAGCAGGGGGCATGACAGAAGAGAAACAGTCCATGGCAGGGTAGGCAGGAGGCAGCAAGCAATGAGCCTCCATTTCCCTTTTATTGGTTGGTGCCACCTACACCCAGGGTAGGACTTCTGTCTTCAGTAAGCTTATTCATCTACAACCAGGACCACACTAATCCAACCCATGGACTGATCCAGTACCACTCACCCTTAATCCAATATCACACACCCATAATCCAGCCACTGCCCAAAATTCCCACCTATGAGCACACCTAGATACAGCCTATACAAAGGCCAAACGATGGGCATAAACTCAGACCAGGAAGAGGATGGTCTACCAGATGGTACTGAAAAAATTGGCAAAAAGACTTATGAAATATAACTCATTGGTCTTAATAAGGAATATCTGAATTTTCATGTGTGAGACCTAAAAGACTAAAGTGAAAAAAAATTCCAATCTCTTAAAGAAAGAATCACATTTTCACATCTCCCCACCACAACTTTGTCTCCAAAAGAGAACTTCCTCTCCAAAGAGAACAAGCATGGCAAGACATTGAGGAATACACCTGAACCAATGAGAACAGGAAAGCTTGAGAAGGGAAGGGTGGGCACAGTAACAACAAAATCAGAACAAAGGAGTGTGCAGTGCACAGAAAAACTGGTTCCATTTCTATACACTAACAATTAACAATCTGAAAAAAATTTAAAAATGACTCCATTCACACTGGCATTGAAAAGAATAAAATTAGGAATTAACTTAGCCAAGAAGGTGAAAAACCTGTACAGTGAAAACTACAAAACATTGCTCAAATATATTTAAAAAGATAAAGGGGCTGGGGATTTAGCTCAGCGGCGAAGCGCCTGCCTGGCAAGCGCAAGGTCGTGAGTTTGGTTCCTGGTACCGGAGAAAAACCAAAAAAAAAAAAAAAAAAAAAAGATAAATATACTCCATGTTCATGGATTGGAATACTTAATTTTGTCAAGATTAATTTTGTCAACACTACCCACAGTGATCTGTAGATTCAGTAAAACACCAATGATATTTTTGCAGAAATAGAAAAATCCATTCTGAAATTCATGTAGAATATCAAGCAAAGCTAAATAGCGAAAATAATCATGAAAGGGAGGCACAAATCCAAAAAGAGTCACACTTCTTAATTTCAAAACTTATCATGGAGCAACAGTAATCAAAACCAATGGCATAAGGACAGCCAATGGCAAGAATCAATGTAACAAATGTTCAGAAATAAACCTTCATGTATACTATAGTCAAATGATTTCTGACACAAGTACTGTCTTAGTTACTCTTCTCATTGCTGAGCCGAAATATCCAACACCCAGAAGTGAATGGAAAAAAGGTTTATTTAGCTCACAGTTTGTAGAGGTTTCAGTCCATATTTGACTGGCTCTAAGGCAGGATGGCATGGCAGAGGTGCAGCACAGAGGAGAAACAGTTCATGGCAGAAAGCAGGCAAAAGCAGGCAAGAGACAAGACAAGCCTCTTTCTGTTTTTTATATTGTATCCAGGCTACATGAGATTAGGGTGAATGCCAAAACAATCGGTGGACTGATTTAGTAATCACCTATTCTTAATCTTAGAACCCTAATCCTAGCATTGCACCATGAATTACTCACACACTCTAGATTCTGCTACCTCTGAAATAGCCCCACCTATGACTGCATGAGGTTTAGAGGGGGTACATGTAAACATAACAAGACCAATGAGGAAAGAACAGGATTTTCAAAATATGTTGAAAAAAATCTGAATCTCACATACAAAAGAATGAAGTTAGTGTTTGGATCATATCTAGATGTCCCCTCAAAGCCTCATGCACTTACAGATGGGGCTCTTGGGAGGTGGCTAGATACAGGTGTTTGATAACTGGATTAGTCCACTGATTGGCTTACTGTGGTTGTTAATGGTGGAACTACTAAAGAGGGAAGCCACACCCTGGGTGTGGTAGCATGGATCTATATGCTTGTAACCTGGATGGAATATACAAGGAAAGAAGGAAAGCAGGCTCACTGTTTTCTGCCTGCCCTGCCATGGACTGTTTCCTCCTCTGCCATACCACTCTGCCTTGGAACCAGCTGACTATGGACTGAAACCTCTAGAAACTGTGAGCTAAAATAAATCTTTCTTTCTTTAACTTGTAGGTGTCAGACATTTTGTCCCAGAAATGAGAAAGTAACAAAAACAGTTGGACTCTTTTAGCAACTTAGTGAGAACTTGTCTCAAAATAAAAAATAAAAAGGGCTGGGTATGTAATCCTTTCCGTGTGAAGGGATTCAATCTTTAGTACTATCCCTGAAAGGAAAGAAGGCAAGAAAGGAAGGAAAGGGAAAATTGTGTAACGATAAAAATTATCAGTTTCACCAAGAAGACAGCAATAATCCTAAATATGTGTGATCAGGGTTTCAAACTATGGGAAGCAAAAATTAATAAAAAGTAGATAAATCCACAGGTTAAAAAAAAAAAAACAGTTGGACTCTTAAGACCATACAAAAAAATTAACTCAAAATGGATGAAAGACCTAAAGAAAACCTTAAAACTCTTAAACATACAAGCAAGGTCACCAGATCAGGTAGTGATTTTTTAATTGTGTCATTAAAGGCACAGTCAACAAAAGAAAAAGAAAGAAATTGGACTTCATAGAAATTGTAAGATTTTGTGCCCAATAGAATAAAAGGGCACCACAGAGTAGAAGAAAATATTTGCAAATATATGATAGAGGCTTCACATCCACATTATAAGTGGAACCCCTAAAACTCAGCAACAGCAACCACAAAATAACTCAGAAATGGGTAGAGGGCATGATTTTCTCTAAAGGAGATTTACAAATGGCCAAAGGGCATATGAAGGTATGTTCAAATCAAACTTGAGTGAGATACCTCCTTATACCCATTATAATGGTCATGATCTCAAAAAGGACGGGAAAAAATAGTAAACAACAAATGATGGAAAGGATGTGGAGAAATTGTAACCATTGTGCATCGTTGGCGGGAAACAATATGGAAGTTACCCGTTTGTGTTGAGCAGTTCTGCATCAGCCAGGCATTCAGAGATGAATATTATCCCTACTTGCTTAAGGCTGCAGGGCTCTGGGTGCTCAGCACAGGCAGGAAGGAACGGGTGGGACGC